CCATCGATCCAACACAATCGTTGCTTGTTGTTCTGACTGCGCTATAGGTTTTCGGATGCTAGGGCCGCATCCTCTATAATTTGGTGAGAGTGGTATCCTGGTGAGTGAAAACGCCACAATAATATCCAAAGAAAGTGTTTCATGAATGAACCACCACTGCTCTAAATCGTAGTTTCCGGTCTCACGAAAATCATTAGAAGGATGTTCTGGCACGCCATGGCAGTCTTGTCTGCCGTGCACCTCTTTGGTGTTTATTTTTGATTGTTACGAACTCCAAGGGACATCAGGATAGATGCGTATCCCACAGGATTCGTGTCTTAGCGCGCTTGCGGAGGGAAAAACGATTTCTACTTCGTTAGAGAATTGTAGTGTTATTCGGATAAGTCTGGATTCTCCATGGTGCGGCTAATTCGGATGACGAGTAATTTGTAATATGTTTATGGTCATGGCTTTGACACTCATCAGCACGGACAGTGAGTTCCATTAGTCTTGGTCGTTTGCGCATTTAATTGGCGACAACTGCGCATCGTGATCATGAGAATCCGGATGCTCGGGAACACCATGACCAATATGGCCATCATGCTATTAGCATTAAGAACGCCGCCGAGGTTACTCGCTACTTTGGGCGGTATTTCCAAGGAAGATGGGGTAATATGCGCACTTCGCTAGGTGAGTTGCGAAAACAAACTGCTGAGAGCAGGACAGTCGCTGTCTCATCTGCTGAATTCAGTGTTACTCGAAGTATTCTAGGTTTACCTGAGTGCAATGAGGGAGAGTGACGCGTTTCACGACTCAGCCTAGTAGGCTTAACCCGAATACCAATCGCATCGCAGATGGAGCTTCACTGGTTTCGATCGTCTAGCCACTTGCTTTTATTGTGCCAGATTCGGACTCGGATACGTTAGTGCAACATAGAGGTAACGCACCGCTTTTCTTTCTAGCAACTGTTGGTTTGAGAGTTGTTGCTGGTAAGTTGGGCTGTTTAAAAGGCACCACTGAAGTTAATTTGGAAAGCGGCGTCGCCCCCATGTGCTCGGTATAGAAGATGGACCTACGTTTGCCGCTCCCAGTATGTTTATCGAAGCGAACGATGCGTACGCTACTCGATAGTTTAGAGCATCGGATTGCCTCTAGCTGAAGCATGCATGAACGGGCTAATAGCAATCACGACGAATTTGTGTTACCCGATTGAGAGGTAATGACACGTCAGAGTAAATGGAACAGATACTGGGGTGTGGCTTGCAGTACCTGTTATACTCCTTGTCCTAGAGACTGGTATCATAGGTTGCTGGGAATGGAATCGAATGTTTTCGATTTAAATGGCGAAGTACTGTGACTCACTATTTGTTTAATTGTTTCGCTTAATTTATCACATTCTTTTCATATGCACAACTGACAACTGGAATAGTTCTGCATACTTGGAAAAACCAAAGCGCATCGGTGACATTTTCGAACCTCTTTACTTCTACCTTATTTGCGCCACCACACTTAGCAAAGAATGCGAAGCCGCATTTTGAACACATCAGGCTTGACCTATCCGAGCGGGTAAACTCCGATTCTCCGCATTTGCCGCTAAGTGGGAGCATTTACATTAGTAAGAATAATTCAAACGCCGTCGGTCGAGTTGGTGACAGGACTGCACTCGTTAGATTACTTTTCTGATGACGTAAACCCGTTCAGTCACATCTGTGCTTTGAGGTCAAATCACACAGTGCCGGTGGGGCGATGTCTCCAGGCCTACGCTCTCGTGTCTGTAGGATACTGCTGTGTCATTTTGTAGTCCCGCGGTGGTGTGGTTAACGTGTCTACGAGGCATGGTCTGTTGACCGCAAGGCGAATTTGCCCAGATGCTGGGCGCGGTTTGCTACGGGGTGAAGGAGGATTACTCTGTAGCTGATCCGCGCAGTGCTGGACTATAACGGGTAAGACCAGGCTAGAACGATGTTGAACTGCTCTATTGAGGGAGGCCAAATTGAGAGTTCAATGAGTAAAATTTTACAACTTTTAAATATGGGTATAGGTGGAACACTGCCCGTAGTTTACGAGTCCAGACAAATATAGGACGTACTGGATTGTACTCGAGACAATGATATCTCGAGGTAGAGCTTGTAAAAAACATGGCGAATAGGTATAGATGCAGTAGTGTGCGACAAAATTCCACTGAGAAACAGTGAAGAATTCAGAGTGCGAAAATGTGCGATTAGCACACTCGTTCCTTTACTCCATTAGAATGTTCGTGGTGGAATGTATTATCAGCGGAAGTTGCCCATGCACCAGACATCGTGACCTTCAAAAGATTGCTGGACAGTCATCAAAGTGATAGCTGATTATAAAAAGTGCTATATCCAGCTTAGTGATAACAAGCAATCTTCGGTTACCTTGCGAAATTTATGCACTTTCCAGCTTGTGAATACTGTAAAGAGGTTGCTTTTTATACCAACATAAACTAGTGAAATGACCCCGTATAGGGTTTCAACAACTACAGGAAGTAGAGTGATATTCTTGTATTTTGCGAGTTCAATGCGATAGTTCCCTTTGTAAGTAAAAGTGGCCATTATATGCGTGCACACAGTGGGAATGCGCATCGCTTACAGACAGTTTTGGAAGACCCGAGACAGGATTTCAACTAATCTTCTGACAGTCATCTTAAATGACTTTGGGCGTAGGCTGTCCGCAACAGGAGAACCACGCTCATGTAATGGCGTGGGCATCAACAGTAGAGGGTTTGTGCTTAAGTTATTATTATCGTAGCGTGATTTCCATGAGAATGGCATCAGATGGCCGTGCGCACTTAAAGCTGCACGTGATCTGTGCCTTTTTCTCGTTCAGTAGGGATCTGCCGACATACGGTGTTTGGAGCGTGGATGCTTCGCCGTAGTTTGCGTAAGTTGTTGGCATGCTTGCACAAAGCAGCTTGGGGATGTAGAAGAATTACCGCGCTGAATCCTCTTGGTACTTGAATTTAGCCCCACGGATTAATGTGACACAATAGTTCTGGCCGGTCAGAGACCCGCTAGTTTCCGCGTCCTACTCCTCTGAAAGGACTTTATCGAGGGCTACGCGGTCTATTGCGCCTATTAAACTAAAAGCAGCCTTAGTTTAATAACCTGATATTAGAAGATTGAAGTTTTCAATGAATTAGGCTGTCCCCTGATATTCTGGATTAAACCGGTTGACCAAATTCTCGGTTGGTGATAATTGGTGTTTCATAGTGCTCTCACTCTCAAAGCGCCGCCAAATTCAAATACGAAGACGAGTTTACCACAACACATTGGACAGATATTGCCCCTCCCCCCCCCGCCACCGCAGTGAGCCAGTAGTCGTAGCCTGTGTTCAGTGAAGGCAAACACGGTGCTGGCGTACTCCTACGGCGGTTCACCTAGTACCGATTGATCAACTAAAAGAATTAATAGGTTGATTTATTTCTCATCGGGTAAATCTTGTTAGTTTGAAAAAGTGGCGGAATGTATTAGCACTGGACATAGTAATCATTCGCTTAGTGTAACTGCGTTCGAAATATAAACCAGTCCTCGACTGTCCCTAGTAGATTAATTCAATTAAACGCTTCGGTGGCCGATAGCTTGTCACATGAAATGCGTGGGCCACTGTTTCTCTGCGAGTATGGGATTTCGCCACAAAATCTAAACAAAACCAGTGTTTAATGACCGCACGGACGTTCACTATAATGAGACAAACCAACTGTTGATTCACGAGTTAGCAACAATAATGAAGACGAATCGGTCCTCTTGTATCATGCCGTAACAACACAAGCGTACAAAAGCGAATTTTCAGCAAACACCTAAAATGGAATAAAATGATGTCCGCCAACTTCTATAGCTACTGGTGGTGTGCATCAGACCAAAGTTAGGACGCTTGCCCGATCAATAGCATTGTCATCTGCACGTCTCTTAAGGTTCAGAGATGCGGAAGAGTAACTTAAGTTATAGGAAGCAGTAGATCATCATCATACACGTCACCTAGAGGTGGGGAACACCTCAGCTACTGTGCCGCAATACATAGAAAAAAGGAGAAAAAAATGCAACTGGTGCAAGCCAGCTGAGCTACCGGTAAGGGATGGGCATCGTTCCGGTAAGCTACCAGCCGGCTACTGTGCAATAACAAAAAATTACTATGCAAAATTATATAAGGCTAAATAATGATATCGTGGTTGGAGGGATAAGGTGGGACAAAGAAACTCACAGCACGAACGCCACTGAGGTCGGCTCCTAGCCATGTCAGCAAGTGTGTCCAACCAAACGTCTTCATCGTCTTTCGGACCCCAACCAGGGAGCCGAGACGCTCCAACCGAGGCCAGCTCAGAAGTGAGGGCCTTCATTCCTCTCGACCAAGTCATCGATTGGCCACCCCTCCTCCTCTTCCATCCACACCCCCCGGAGCGCAAACAACGCACGTCGCGGGAGTCGGTGGGCTGGCATGCGTAACATATGGCCGAGCCATCGGAGCTTGGTGCGTAAAGTGACGGTGCAGAGCAGTTCATTTCCTTTTCCTGTGCCGTAAACAAGGCGTCGGACACGCTCGTTACTCACGCGGTGTTCCCACCAGATGTGAGCTAAATTACGAAGGCATCGGTGGTCGAGCGTAACTAGCCTCTTCAGGTCCGCTGCTTTAAGCGGCCAGGTTTCGCAACCGTACAGTGTAGTCGAACGTACCGCTGCATTGTACACTCTACCCTTCAGGGCAAGAGTGACGTCGCGCCGGCGCCATAATTGGCGAAGGTTAGCAATAGCAGTAGATCGGGTGTAGGTTATTCAGTATTGAATAAGGCGGCTGCGTAGGAATTCGACAATTACACGCTACAGTTTTATCGTCAGCCGCAACGTTACAGCTGTTAGATTAGACAGCCGGCCTTAAGTAAGTCTACTGTACGAACACCTGATCAAATGCGATGGACAGATGGCACTATGCCATCCATGGGCACAACAGGTTTATGCACCACTAACGAAACCCACCGAAATCCTGAAGAAGCGTCAAAAGGAAATACATTGCATGAGTCGAATTAAAAATCATTCATAACTCGAAAAGCAACGAAATGATCAAATGAAACTGCAGTAACACAATGCTGCAGAAACAGCCCGAAGATAAACAATTGGTGACACAATGCGAATGTGAGCTTCATTTACGTGGAGGCGGAGGTGAATCAGTCCAAAAAAACAGGCACAATAAATGCTCAACCAATAGCAACAAAATGGGAAAATAACCCAAAAATAAACAAATGGGGGGCATGACGCAACTGAATTCTGGTGAACGAAACCAACAATATGTGCTGTGAGCGAATGACAATTCGATGATGCAGAAAGCACATCAGTTGACATTTCCAAGGTAGAAGAAAAGTATATGGGAGCGAGAGTTGGCAACATTACTCGAAAGCCGGTGACTGCACTCGATAGGGAGGATAGAACTGTCGGGGCACGGAGCAATCGATGTCGCCCTGTGTAATCCAGGGGCTTGCGAGTTCCATTTTCCGTGGGACGGTGTTAGCATCTTGAGCACATAAGACGACTCACACTAAATAACTAATTGGATATAATCAGATCCAAATGTTGAAAAAATATATAAATCAATGGTTTGCTCTAACAAATATCACACGCAAAATAATTGATTCTTATGCATTTGAGAGAGTGAGCGAGAGATGGAAAGTCGTGGAGAACCAAAGAAAATAGACAATGTTATTGACACGTGATCTATACACGATAAAACGTGGTGGCTACGATAGATGTATATACCATAGTATAGTGAGAATCATAATATCATAGACGATATTAGTCGGCGAATGGCCAATAAAAGCAAAGGAGAACTAAAACGTCCGAATAAAATGGTGTGCGTGTGTGCGTGCGCGTAGAGAGGTGGAGATCAAAAGCATGGTGAGACGAGAGATCAGATGAGATCCACATTCTTTTTCAAATCATTGCGCTTCCATTCTGGTAATCGTTGGAAAGCAGCCGAGGACATACCGAAAATGGACTCGAACTCAGTTGGTTCCAGATACGTCTGCAAGAATGGAAATAAGAGGAATACAACTCCGGTGAACTGTGATTTGATAAGCTGCTGGAACAAGTTTAAAAAAATGAGTTCCACTGTATAACAGGACCACGGATGGCGCATATGGACTGTTGATAGTGTCCCATTGAGTTTTAGTTCCGTGCTACACTGAATAAACACATAAACAGGTTTTTTTAGCGATAGCCACCACGTTCTGGAACATCGCTGTCCAACTATTTGGGGGAACGAGTTAAACCTGAACAACCCAGCTGGCAGCACGGCATTGTTCAGCCAGCCAGCCAGCCAGCCAAGTGGAAATCGAGGCGGTGTTGTGCCACTGTGATATGGCCCATTCTTTCGCAGCATTGTCGGGTCCGATTAGGGTGTTTTGCCTTCCCAAGTGGACGCTTGAAACTCAGTCGCATTAAGCATGGTACAACCCCAATACCAACGTAACTGCCACACATCAAGGATGGCTCTACGAAACCTTAGAAAAGGAAGTGAACAACTTTGATCGCTATGGAACCAAACGATCTGATTTTACAAAAGCAGCAGTTGGAGGAGGAGAAGAACAGTATAAGTCAAAGTTCATCACCTCCAGAATCAGTTCAACAGCCAGCATCCGACAGTAAAATTGCGACGGTTTTATGCTTCCGGGGATCGAAGGCAGTGCGTATTCCCTCTGACTCCAGTTGGGCCAAAACGGCCAAGCTGACTGCTACCAGTCCGTGGTGAAGATCACTGGGCTACGGCGAACGGCAACAATCGCCGTGACCAAGTCATGATATAGTACCGCCCATTATCCAATGACATGCATGTTACTACCGTGTCGAGGACAGGGTATCTCCCTCATTGAGCGACGAACTTACCAAACTTAAGCTATCAATTAACTTCGGTATTATAAGCCGTTCGACCTGCGTAATAAGCGCAAAGGAGTAGCAGGATTTCGGACTGAGTCAGTCAGTACACAATTCCTGGAGGGATGGAACAGCCGCACAGTTTTTTCGGGCCTGTGATGACGATATGACTGAGTCAAAAGTGGCTGAACTTTTACGTTTACCAGTTTTACATGAGCATTTTCATTTTACAAACGGTTGTTGATCCTCATGATCACAGTGGTGTGGGTTAACCCAATTGGTGTTTTGGTGTGCGACTACTGATAGCCAACAACCAAGGAAATTTGATGGCAGAGACTGCGGCACAGAAGCTGATATTTCGTGCATTCGTGATGGCTGAATCAAGTGATTTGAGAAACACTATAACCACCGACCACCAGAACAACCCGAATGCATTGTTAACGGTGCGCGTGCGTAGCCAAAAGACCCACATGCTCAAGCTCCTTAATGCTAGTGTAATCGATCGGAAACGCTCATTGCCGTGCGTACAAAAACCTTTACAATGATAGCAGCACTTGAGTTGAAACCTTTGTTATGTTAATGGATTTCGACGTGTGAAGTGAACGTTGGTTCAGTCCATCACTAGGACCGTAACTGATGAAGCAGGTAGATATTGGTGTTGCTCGCCCCAAAACGCTGCACCCCATGACGGGTTGCGATCTTATCTAATCTCATCATGTGAATGAATTAGGACGCGCAATCTCAATGCGGACTGTGATTCGCTTTCAAGTGAACCTTGGTCAATTCAATCATTTGGACGTCAACTTGTGAAATAGATGGATATTTAATGTTGCCAGCCAAAAAAAGAACCCAATCCCCTAAAAGTAATTAAATAAGTAAGAATTTGCTTTCGCGGCAGTGACTGTTCCCGCACAGGGATAGAACAAAAGAGCTCACCGTGTTAGCAGTGGAAGATCGATACAGCTTGGCCACTCATCAATCACAAATGACCATGTCCCTTCTGTGTCTATCATTCACCAATGGTGTGTGGCTGATAAGGAAGCAAGAAATGACGATATCCCAAAGTATCCAACTTCTGAGTTCCTTATTCGAAAAGCAACAACGCTAGTAAATAGGACACAATTCCGATTCACATAGGGTAACGGTTTGTATGCCAGTAAACTGAAGCGAAAACCGACAAGAGTTTCCAGATGGGTGTAATGCGTAAGAGTGTTGTTCGGCCAGATGTGGATGGCGTATGACGGCATTGCGTTGTGTTCCTATGGTGAGAGACCGATCCGTTTTCCCTAAGTAAGGCCAATTGTACAACTACGCTAGCTCATGCTAATCAGCTTTTTCGGCATGAAACTAAACAGTCTCTGAATTCTCGAAACCCCACATTATCCCGTTCTGTGTCCACATTAAGGTAACCACAAAAATCCAAGCCTTCACGCTGTTTGACCAGATGGATCGCAGTTGTTGAGCACACAGCACATGGACTCGCTCTATCTCTCTGTATGCACTCATTCTTCATCAGGGGTTGCACTGTGACCAAGCTGAATACACCTCTGACCAAACACTGGTCCGAAGCAAGCTTACTTTTCGCATAAAGCAACTGGTGGAAATCCCCACCCCTAGGGTTGAGGCAAATGCAGAGTTGTATGCATAACACAGTTTTGCTGCAGTGGCGTCAAATTTGTTCAACCTAACTAGGCAAAACTACACTCCCGAGCGCTTTAAGCTTGGTCATCTAAACAAATGACATACAGTCTCACGGATAATAAACTAATGCAGTTGCAGCGGACTATTTTAACGTCCATGAAGACCGATCAGTCATACAACCTCACCGGGAGCGAGGCAACTGAAAACGCGGCGAAACTAGTGTGGCGTAAAATGTTGACGGAAATTGTGTATCTGTTGAGCTGTGCTCAAAGGGGTACGGCCGGAGTGAGTAAACTCCGTCAAAAACTTTTCAGTGTTATTGCATTCAGTTTGCCTAGTAGTTATCGAACTCTCTTCGAGCACACAGTTAAACAAATGCAGCTTCAGACATCGTAATTGGTGAGTGAATAAGGTCTTGTCATGCATCAATCCACCGCAGCATTTAGGCTACAGCTGATTGGTGACTACCAAGAGTGTCGAGTTAATCAAAACAGAAGGATGAACGGAGAGCCATGAACTTGGCAATTCAAATAAAATGAACCTGCGGTCGAGTGAATGTCTACTATGAAAGAAGATGAGACGATGAGACCACACTTCGTTTGTCTTCCGCGACACATCACGTCAAACACGCATAGAATAGTTGGGACTTGACGCGAGCTCGATTGCGGCATTTTACGAGAGAACGGTGAAATGTAGTCATCTTTTCAATTTGTCGATGATTGATGATTACCAAACGCAAGTGACAAAGCGCGTGCTACCATCTGTGGTCGGTCAGTGTGGCGGTGGTGGACACGTGCAAGCACAGAGAAACGCATCACGCCGATCAGAATTGGTTCCAAACAAAGGAAATGGGCTTGGATAGGAAAAGTTGACTGGAAATTGTTTTGGACATGATGACCGGTCTCCAGAAAAAAAGTGGAATAGAAGCAGAGGCGCTCATCTGGGTGGCCATAATGTACTTTGACTAAAAGGCATTTTGGCGTGAAAGAAATCCGCACGGCAATGAAGGCATGGATATGGTAGGAAAAGCAGCAAACACAGTGAACCAGACGGACGAGAGAGTGGAAAGCTTTTATGGTAGATATTTCTGAACATCCTAACAGATAACAGGAATTATGTATGCGAACAGACACGCTTTTGTTAGTAAGGGAGTAAAAGTGAATATTGATGGTCTGTTTGTCTAAAAGCAGAACCCGTGCTTACTTTTTCAAGCAGGAGCATGAGGCGCTGCGCTTTTTGATAGAACATTTTGTGACGTCAGCCTCCCACTATATTGAGAAATATATTAATTGCTTATTTATTTAAGTACCAAGTAAGGGTTAGAAAACAGAGTAACCGACAAGAAACTCTGAGGTTAAATACCGCAACAAAACAAATCGCATAAACTACTAAAGACGCATGGATAAGAGTGCAAATTTAAACGACACCTGGAGAGAAGCCGAAGCGATCATTGAGGTATGGAAATTCCAGATGAGATACCGTGACTGGAACGGCTCAAGTTGGTTGAAGACAACCCAGACAACCCATCGAAAGCTTACCTCGAGGCGCGTACGTTCCAGTCCCTTCGGGATGCGTCCGGCTGACACTTTCAATTGATCGTAACGATAAAACTAGCGAAATGAAGGAAAAAGGATGGGAAATTGCAAAAAATGAAAATAGCAGGCAGGCAAAATCCGTAGCTCTGTTTGAAAATAGAACTCGGTCTATAAGAACAAACGGGAAGGCTATATAATGGTCCAAACTCGCAAGTCAATGCATGAAAAAGTCGGTGAATATCGAGCCCACAATGCGCATTACTTAAGCCGATGTTGGCTGAATTGTCGTCACATATGCAGGCAGAACAGCCAGACCGATTGAGTGCAGTCAGTGAGTCGCACAGATTACAGAATGAAATGCACCACAAGGAACGGCGCAGAGTTTGAGGTAACACTAAGAGAAACTAAGGAGGATTTGGAGTGCCATTAAACGCGATCTAAAGCTGTATTACTGCACAACCAGGCTAGTAAAAACATAATTTGCTACAAAAAATCACATTCTATGGTAACGCGCTTGCCATTTAAAGTTCATATCCACGTAGGCTCTAGAGATTGGTCGTGCCACACCCATCCACTGCTATTAAGCAGGAACGCCTGCTGCGTAGGAGCATGTGTACCTGTGTGCGTACGTGTTTGTATGACAACCAATCAGCGTGCGCCATTGATTCGCTTCGAACTGGAACTGCTCGCGTTCATGAGACTCGCGTAGTAGACAGTTTTTACGTGCTCATGTGCTGAGTAGAGTGTACCGCTTCACGCTTGCAACTAAAATGTTCGGGCTACCATACCGGTGTTCTGATTTCGCTTGGGTGTAACATACCGGCGACGAATGTTATCGGATTAGTCATGGCAAATTCGATTACGGCACCCCTGACGTTTTGGAATTCCCCTACTGAAAGACCAACTATTCAGCAATAGACGCAGTAGAAGACTATTTTCATTAATTGCGTTGAGGTACTTTTGCTTCTTGGCGGCAACAACACGCTAGACGATGCAGCAAAAATCAAACTACTATGCCACCACCTCGATAATGAGGGCTAGCGACATTTCGACAGTTTGCAACTACATACAAATGGAGATCTACGATATGTGCTCTATCCCATGGACCAACTCCGGGGGGAACAGCCACATGTGTTCACAACACGCTACAAATACAACACCATGCGACAACAATCGAATGAGTGTAAATGAGTTTATCACTCGACTTCTTACTGCGCTTCCCGATTGTGGCTATGATCAGATTCTACCGAACTAGTTCGAAGAAGTGATACTGTTACAGGCGTTAATTGTGGTCGTTCTCTATGAGAAGGCATGAGAGCGACTGCTATCCAAAGACGAAACGCTCCTGACTTGGGAAAAAGTCTGTGATATTGTCCGATAGCGTGCGAAACCTATTTCAGGAACTAGCTGCGTTCTCTTCCACCAATCAGTTGATCTCACATGAAGTAAACAAAGTCTCTCAGACTTACTGTGATCAAAGCGCAACTCAACTTGTGCAGCGTAGAGAATTTCATTGTTATCGCTGCGGTGAACGTCATAAGTCCCCAAGTGACTGTCAGCATTTGCACTCAGTGTGCAGATTTTGTGGTAAACAAGGTCGTATTCAGAAATTATGCCTTTTCAAGCGGAAATCGCTTGCATCTGAGCAACATAAAGCTACAAACCGCATTACCGAGAACCTACATAAGAACTGGATCAACAGCACAACTGATTTTAGTCGCAAAATAACGGTGGAAAAGCCTTTAGTCGTGTCGGTCAAGGCAAACAGGCAAGTTAAGAATTTTGAAATTGATACCGGTTCTGCAGTTACGCTGAAACGACCGGATGCCTTATCACAACCCAAAAGTTAGATCCATTAAATATACAATCACGATCTTACATGGGACATATGGCGAAGGTGCTGGGCACATTTGTTGTCCGTATCGCCCACCATAATTGAAGGAATCATATGTGTGTACGTTACTGGAGGACCTGGCCCAAACATACTTGGCCGCGACGATTAAACCTCTTCCGAGCATCGATGTCGAACGTCGACTTGGTGGAAACCCATGCACAGTTATCTGTATCTTCCAGAAGCATGCGGTTTTGTTCGATGAGTCTAGACAAGGTTTTTTGAAAAATTACGCCGCTCGTCTAGTGTTGAAACCAAAGACGATACCGAGGTTATAGAAAGCTCGATCTGTAACATATGCTCTTCGTGATAAAGTCGAGAATGAGTTGAGCTAACTCCAGCTGAAGGGTACAATTGAATCTGTTCAATATTCGGACTGGGCAGCCCCTGTAGTGCAAGCTTTGAAGGGCGATAGTGCCATAAGAATCTGTGGGGACTACAAAGTTAAGCTAGAGAAATATCCGCTGCCAAAAAGTGAATACAGTTATGCCTCTTTCGCCTACGGCGAGCTTTTTAGTAAACTATATCTGAGCCACTCCTACCAACAAATTGATCTCGATGGTGAATCAGGTGCATACAACACTATTGGCACATCTTGTATTATTCCGCTATACCCGAAAGCCATTTGGGATAAACTTGGCCCCGGCTATCCTTCAACGTATTGTTGATACATTGGTGAAGGACATCGAAAACACATGTGAATACTTAGATGACATCCTAGTTATTGGACGTATTATCACCGAACAATTGCATATTTTAGATGTTATCCTGAAACGATTATCAGACGCCAGGTTGGTTAAAAAAAGGAAAAGTGTGAATTGCTTGTGCCGAGTGTGCAGCACCTTTGGTATCGGTTATCACGAGAAAAGATTAGAGTGCAGCTTTAAGCGCAAGTACTCAAAAAGGTTCATGAGCTGCGGTCATTCCTGGGTGCCGGTACTCAGTTTTCAAGGTTCATATCATCGGCAAGAACACACTTAATCCGCTTCATCAACTCTAAAGAGAAAACAAACTTGGAATTGGAATAGGGTTCATGAAAATGATTTCATGGCGATAATAAAGCTTTCGGCAACAGCACATGTTCATGTGCATTAGGACCCACAAAAGCATGTTATTCTCTCCAGTGATGCTTCACAATATGGTATTGGAGCTGTTTTAGTGCACAAATAACCGGAGAACTACCAGCGACCTACTGCCCATGGGCTCAAGAACATTGACAGCAGCAGAATGAAAGTACTAGCAGCTTTATCGAAAAGCGGCAGCTATGATCTTCGGTACTACAAGATTTCACCAATACTAACTTTGCCGAACCTACGCGCTCCATATTGATAATAAAACGCTTGTTTCCCTCCTTCGCCAAGAAAAGTGCATTTAACAAATGGAATCATAAGGAACGACTCGTTGGCTCCTCATTCCATCTGCAAATATATATGCATGGCAGCATCCGGTTTCGGATTCACCTGTCACTGTGGCCAGCCACAGGATGCCTGCGCTTACGGAGGGACCATGGGTGGTTTGCGCTGCACCACCCACAGCTTCATCCACACACACCATATCCAGTGTAAACCCGAAGGAATAAGACCGGGAGGCATGTTGGTGGGAGCCACATTTCGTCAACGGAGCCGGCCACACTCCTTCACAGGCAAACACAAGCACGCTCTATTTGGGAATCAAATGCATACAAGGCGGTGGCTGGACCGTAGTCCACTCCACTCTGAGTGCATGGAACCACTCTTCGAGCCTAGCACGACCACAAGGACCGTGCACCCCGTCCAATCCTGCAACGATCAACTGTCTCCTGGAGTCAGTATGGACGAGGTAGTGGGTAATAGACAGGTAGGCACCTTGTCAACATGCACATCAAACGCAGCCACACCGGGGATATCAAAAAACAGCCAATCTCTTGGAATGAAATTAAAAATAAAATAGATCAATTAATCATACGGCTATGCTGCCATAACTGCGCTTAATTAGCATACGAATTAAGTTAGTTAGCAACTAATCCGCGATAAGTACAAAATGTCCACAAGTTACTCAAAAATATTACAAACACAATAAAGTTAACAAAGTTAGTTAGACAGTCTCCTGATCATCTTTCCAATATAATTTGCCGAAAGCCAAAAGTCTAACCAATCACCGTTGAAAAGCGCTAAATCTACTTATCACTGCTTTCCAAGGGTGATGTGATAGCGGAACGAACTACTCGAAGGCTCTGCAATGCAACAGCAAGAACCTACTTTGCAGCTGACCTCCGTGTCAGCTTCACTTCTACGCCAGTCGTGAGTCAGCATCTCAAGGACAGATTAACGAGGGCAAATATTTCCTTCTGTGTGTACCATTTTTCTTGCTCGTGTCGAGCAAGTTATATTGGAAAGACGACCAGGAGACTGTCTGAGAGAGTCCGAGAACATTGCCCGGCGTGGCCCTTCACTGGTGTCAGAATGACAGTAGTCAGCGCGGTGCTGTGGCATTTGGCCGACACAAATCACCAAGTGAATGTGCGAGAGGTCTTCCAGCCTATCTACAACATATCTGGACGTCACACGCGAGCCCTCCGATGTCGCCTATTGCCGACAGCGGAAGCAATCTGTACAGGCTCTACAGCTGCCATGGCCTCAAGCTACCCCATGTCATGACACCACGCTTGACCCTTCCACTAATGATGCCCAAGCCAGTGTCGTCACTTGATCGCATTGACCGGTCAATTCACTTCATTGATTCATCCTATTTAAACACACTGTGTTTGAGTTACTCCTATCATCTGTGGTGTGTTGGCCTGATGCGAACCACCGAAAACAAGCTTGTTCGCCTAACTGTCTTTTGATTCTGATGTCATCTCAGGGATTAGTTTCTCAGTTGATTTGCAAAGAACACATAGCTTTCCATTATAGGATATCTGAGCTCAGCCACCAAAACCGATGTTTACTATGGAGTGCGATTTTGCTCACGAATCCTGGATGAACTACATGATGCGCACCCAAGAGTTACCAAAATGAAGTCACTAGCTCGCCCTTATGTGCAGTGGCCCGAATCGGACGATGACATTGCAGCGAAGGTTGGAGGTTGCGGACTCTCCCAGGAAAACCGAAATGCCGCCCCCATGCGCAGTGTAGGCTTGGGAGTGGCCAGAAACACCCTAGAGACGCGTCCAGGTAGACTTCCTCGGTCCTTTCGAGTGTCATATGATTTTATTGACCGTTTACACCCATTCAATGTGGATTGAAACCAACATTCTAGCCCCAGCAATTAAACTAAGCCCAACGTTTGCAACGTTTGGCCTCCCCGAAACACTTATGGCTGACAATAGGCCAGCGATTTCCAGTTCCGAATTTTCCACCTTTCTTCTTTCAAACGGCGTTAGACACATAGCTGCCAAACTCAATCTTCATCCTCCAACGGGCTGGCAGAAAAGGCAGTACAGTCTGTCCCAAAAGTCTGGTCCCTCTGTCTGGTAATGCAGTCAACACTACTTGCATCATCCTCTGACGATTATCTCAATTCCCAATGGATGTGCATCAGAGACACTTTAATTTCTGCCAGTGTTGTCAGTTGTGAATTTGCTTATCACCCACCGAAAAGCCGGATCATCGCTGATGGACAGACGTCGCTTGATCACAGCCGACACCAGCTGTAGTGAGGAACGTTGATCCCTGGACAGAGTGCTGCGCAGGAGCTTACAGATGGACCGTGAGACCTGGTGGTGTGAACATGCTAGAGAGCTTATATTTGCTAATCTCTCTGGTAAGACCAGAACACTGTTCCACTTCATCCGAGTCACCGAAGTCTTCCGAGCAAGAATAAGTGAAACAATCTGCGAAGATGATGGCTCCTAAATCACTAATCTTCAATGACGGTTTGAGCGATAGGCCGAACATTTTCGTTCGTAGTTTTCCTGGCCGCCAGATCCATCTGTTTCCCCTGGGGCGCGCACCGGTGATGAGTGGACTATCACAACTGATCCTTCCTCTCACCAGGAAATTTGGCGGAAACTCTGCTGCGCAAAGCGTTATAAGACGTCCGGCCCTGCTAGTCTACCCACTGATCTATTTAAAGATGAGGGTCCTTCGCTGGTTCGAGAACTCACCGCTTTGTTCTCAGAAATCTGGGCAAAAGAGGAGGTTTCATCATCCCCGAGTGAGTCGGCAGTAGTCCCCATGTTCAAAAACGGCCTGCGCACAAAGTTCTTCCATTACAGGGGCAGAAGTTTGGTTCCCGTCGTTTGTAAGATTCTGGTGTCCAACATTCTTCGCAGCCTACCCCAACACGTGAATCACTACAGCGAGAAGAACAGGAAGGGTTCCTCACTGGTCGGGGATGCATCTATCAGATTTACACACTCCGCAATGTGTATCAAAAGCCAACGGTGGTTGCGTCCTGGACATCCATGTAGCCTTCGAGTCTGTCGACAGGGCTGCACTGTGGCACTGTCTGTTGGGGAATGGTGTTTCCAGGAAGTTCGTTTTCATTCTGCGTGCTCTGCATAGTCTGACCTCGGATAGAGTTAGGGCTTTTGGTAAGCTTTCGTCTTCCTTTGTTGTCACCAGTGGGGTTCGACAAGGATGCCCTATCTCCATTCCTCTTCAACTTCGCAATTGAAGATATCCTCAAAAATGCTCTAGAAGACTTGTTGAACTCTGGAGTTGAGTTTCTCCCAGATAGTCGGGTGGTTAATTTGGATCACACTGATGATCTAATCGCGAAGACCGTTGCCAAACTGCGGGAGAAGGACCTCATGCATGCAGAGAAGAAGCGGCAAATGCGGAAGCGGCAAGCACCGATGGGTTGTACTCCATCGACACCGAGCGCATGGTGCAGTAGCACATGCGTTCGCGAGTGCTAAGACAGGCCTAGTGAGCCATGAGCGAGGCCAATCGGGACCACCACCGAAGCGACGATGGGTCCTACAGAGAAGGTAGGCAGAACCGGCGCAGCGTTTGTAGGTGCGCTGCATCCGATTTACTAACCGCATGCTTGCATGCTAAGTCACTTTATTTCAGGTGGTGCATTTGCAATTGTATCTTAATGCGTTTCTTTGTCATATTAATCTCTACCTGTACTATCTTCTATAGACTTGCACACATCGCTGAAGCTAAGTGTAGTTAATTTCGGTAACATTTCCATGTTTGTGGCATTTCCTTAAGATATATTTTCTCACGTCTTGAACTTATCACGAATTCGTTCGCAATCAATTTCCCTATACGCTCATTTAGTGAAGAGTTACGTCATCTTATCTGTATTCAGCATTTATTTATTTTAATCCATCTTGTGGTTTCAAGTGATTGGCTGTTGTTTGTTATCCCCGGTGTGGCTGCGCTTGATGTGCATGTTGACAAGGTGCCTACCTGTCTATTACCCACTACCTCGTCCATGCTGACTCCAGGAGACAGTTGATCGTTGCAGGATTGGACGGGGTGCACGGTCCTTGTGGTCGTGCTAGGCTCGAAGAGTGGTTCCATGCACTCAGAGTGGAGTGGACTACGGTCCAGCCACCGCCTTGAGTGCACTTGATTCCCCAACTAAAACGTGCTTGCGTTTGCCTGTGAAGGAGTGCGGGCCGCCTTCGTTGATGAAACGTGGCTCCCATCCACATGTCTCCCGGTCTTATTCCTTCGGGTTTACACTGGATATGGGGTATGTGGATGGAGCTGTGGGTGGTGCAGCGCAAGCCACACACGGTCCCTCTGTAGGCGCAGGAGTCGTGTGGCTGGTCACAGTGACACGCGAATCCGAAATTGGATGCCGCCAACCATAAAAGCGAAGGAACTAAAACTGAGCATCGTCAACGAATGTCGTGGTATACCGGTGGACACTTTGCAGAAAGTGCAAGCCGATAGCTTTGAACGAATACTGCTATTCAAAAGAAACGACGGTGGTCATTTTGAACATCTTTGTTGGTTTTTATGTTATTGAAGCATACTTCATGTGAAGATAGGCATAATGCATAATGACTGATTTCACTAGCACAATGTTGCGATAGGTAATGATGTGAATTGTATGAATTGTATGGACACTATATATATATATATATATATACCACGATTCTTTCTGGGTGAGTTCAGTCAAGGGGTAATAGTGAATCATTCATTATCACGTGCTAAAGTCCAGTAGAGGCCTAGCGCAGTGCTGATATGCACTGAGAGGCTATCAGAGAAGCAGAAGGGATGACCAACGGAGACCAAGAAGCGTACAAGCACTGTGGTCACCGAAGGATGATAGATTGCAAATTAGCGTTCGTTTTATCGAATGTGAATAGTAAAAATGATTAATGCGATAGTGTTTCAGGTTGTCTCCCATAGTTAGGTTTTAAAGTAAGTGAGTCATCGACTTCTCGCTAACCTCCGAAGAGGATTGGATTGTGAGACTGAGTTTTCTGGCCTACACCTGGTATGAGGGGCTCTGAATGCAAGCGAAAACTGCCACAAAGCATAGTTCAATAGGTCACGGGGGTATGCAAACCATCACACTAGGCTAAGGTTCAGTCTCGTTGGGATCGGTGGTTACGACAGGGTGAGACTGGAAAATAGCGTTAGTTTTGTTGTATGTGACTGAGGAGAAATCCTGATACCATAGTCTTTGAGGGGTCTGCAACAGGCCGAGCGTGCAGTTACCATCGCAGATGGTGTGCCCTCGGAACTTTAAACCACTGGAACAAAACTCAAAGATGCTAGAAACAGGAAAGCATTGAAAGACGGTATCGATGTGCTTTCAGTAAGGATCAGGTTTAGTACGTGGTGTCGAACATATTCATGTAAAGGTTAATCGGTCAAGACCGTTGGTAGAGTGAAGGGAATCACCACTATCCACAGAGCTCCGACATAATAAACTGCACACAAGACGAAAAGAATTGCGGACAGGGCGTGAGGGTGGCACCTTTCACTGACGAGTCACTGCTTGAGTCAAGATGCGAGCGCCGTGAAGAAGGGAAGCGCAATTTGCCGAGGCTTGTTCAATAAACCATTACGCGGAAAAAAGTGGTTAGCTAGCAACGCATCATGTGGCTCCCATCGCACAACCGTGCTGAACATGCGGAAGGAGATGCACAAAGCGCTCAAAAGTCTGCATTCGACCTTATATTCATCAGTTATTCACCCAACCACTGTCCAGTGAATAACGCGATATGAGAAGGATGGGTGCAGGCAAAACTACTACTTAGGTGACAAGACGGTTGTGGCAGTAGCCTTAAGGATCATAAGTCCGCCTTGTAAATCGAGGGAGTGGGTTCGAGACTGCATAGGTGACTGGGCGACCCTCGCAGTATCGGCAGCCCACGTACGACTGGTGGTGCTTGCGCGGCAGCGAAGCGTTGGTATTGGGTATCCGCGTATTGCTGATGTTTTTCTCTGTCATATGACTGCACCGTATCTTAATCGATGGCAACCTTAACGCAATGGCTTTCATCCGTAGTGTAGCAACTTGCATTCTTAACGTAAAAACGATAATCCGACTTCACTTAACCTTAGCATCACAGTTTGAAACCAGTTTGAAACCAGTTCCTGAGCAAGCACCTGCTTCCACCCCATTATTGTCCGATGCTGGTGCTCACCTAGACGAGTGCGTGGCTTGGATGAGCAAACGCGATGTCCGTTTGAGGCGAGCGGAAAGTTGACTCACTGAGGCCATCGCATGAAGGCAATTTGTGTGGCTATCGGATTATAGGTTTTGCACTAATGATGCAAACTGCTGCACTATGGATGAGAGCGCTTGCGTTAAGAATGCAATCAATTGGGAAACAGTATAGTGTGAACAGAGTGTATCTATTTCTTATTTAGCTACCATTAGTAGCATCATTATTATCATTAGTCATCAAATAAAAGCTGTTACTCGAATGGGTCAATCAAAGTGAACTAAAGTATTTCAAACGATTAAGGACCTTTAGGTCATCTCTCAAACTTATGTAACAACCCATAGCTCACCTTTTGCAGTGGGGGCTTGTGGGGTGCGACATGCCGCAGCCAACTTTGCACCGATGGATACGCATCTAAATCAGTGAGTTCCGAATCACTGATAAGCTGACCGCTTCCACGTCGCACGGACGGCCGAGTACGTCCGTGTGATGACCCATGAAGCGATCGATTCTTTAACAATGCACGCACAGGACGCAGCCCAGTCACTGAATGAGGAAGACCAGGCACCGTGCCAGATTTAAGCACGTACGCATTCCCACTGGGCACCATAGTGCCATCATCGGCTCCCGAACACAAAGTTAGTCCATCCATGGACATAGCCGAAGTAGCAACTGAAGCAAGATCGAGATAAGGGTTGAAGCACACTTGCAGACCTTACAGTTATGTAACCGTTGTATACAATGGAACAGGAAACACAATGAACGCAATGAAACGAGAGGTGGTGGTTGCAGAAATAAGATTTGCCGCAAAATCGGACAAACCAAGCCGCCCTTCTATGCGTTCAATATGGGTACACACATGTGCTCAGCGGTTTTAATGAGGTAGTCATAAGAACATTGAAGTAGTAGTGACGGAATGGTCGTCGGCTGCGACACACGTGTACAGTTAGTACGGAGAAGACAAAACGGTTGTTGACGTGTACACAACAGTGTACAAAACATAGCTGCTCCAGAGAGAAAAGGAGATTAAATACACAGTGTACACCGTATGTATTAAAATCTAGTCGAAACGGAACTCTGTTCTAATTGCACAGCCTATGGAAACACATAAAAAACGTTAATACGCCTTAGGTGAGACGAAGACTTTTTCAAATTCCACGATGCTTGAAGATCGTGATGAAATGTGAACCCAATCGCGGTAGTAATCCATTCTCATCGCCAGTCGCTGGAGCTCGAAGACGGATAGCAGACACCAGCCACTTCCGAAACCTACAAGATCGATGATGGCCTAAAAAGATGGAAGCAGAACACCTCGTAGGTATCTGCATACTGAAGCAGCTTATTCGCCCAGCAGTGAAATAGACTGAGAACATGAATGCAAGATAAACAAGAATTCCGGCTGAAACTGGGGCACGTAAGCTGGATCGATGATTGTTTAGATGATAAACAGGGAGGAGTTCACGGAGGAATTGAAGTGCACAAGTGTTGCGAATTAATGAAAAAGTTTGGCTCGTGTTTCCAATGAATATAAACACGCTAGACGATCACATGGTACCCATTAACAATAAAACAATGGCAGAAATAAATCGATTACACTAATCAATATAAAATCGACAAGCGGAACAGTGTCTACATGTGGAACACCTGTAATAAGGACAACTAAATACGGGATTGACACAGTGTAGCGCGAACTCGTAGGTGGTTCAATGTAAACGCACAATAAAGTGTACTCACGTGAACCGACGCCTTCTGCTCCGGTTACGTTCGAGTCGAACACACCAAAGGTTTGCAGTGAATGGTCTCTGGTTATTGTGTGATCCCCGTCGCCCATTGTACTGCTCGCACACGTCGAGAGTCCGGTAGGAGGTTCAGTTTGCGCTTGTGGCCCTGATTGCATGGAACGAGATCCACGTAAAAGCGAAGTGGAGAATGCGCCATTTGCATGAGTCCCACGAAACGTGTCGCCTGCTGCGTCGACGGCCAATGGTCGTGGAAGGCTTATCGCTCTGCTGTGTAATGTGCCCATTGTGTAACCAGGCCGGGGGACTGAGAAGATGAAGAGAAAGAGCATGGAAATGTGGATGCGGCCACGGTAAACAGTCGCGAAGAGATTGTGAGGAGAAGCATGCGCTGCTTGCTCGGTTTATACGCAAAACAAATGATGCGGATATGGTTCACTAAGATGAGCCATTTGAGGTTAGAGATCGAAGCATACCATGCTAGTCTGCAGAGATGAAAGAGCAGTCAAAATAAATATCCACAGACGGCGGAAAAGAAGCAAGAGTCTAGAGTCGTGCGCAGATTTATGTCTAGTTATACTGCAGTGAACACCGTCCTTCCGAGATGAGCGGGAAATAAAGCAGAGACAAAGAGAGCCTATGTGTTGGCGACACATGCAACTGTATAGGAGCAAAGAACTTTTAACACCATGATCACAGTCGAGAATAAAAACCTGGGAAAGGACACCTGACCGGTCCTTGACGATTGGCAAGAGGGCCTGCAACGCGCCCTAAGCGAAGTGAAGGAGTGTAAAGACAGCCAAAAAAGGCATCAAATTTAGAAAATAAAAACGTGATGTGCATGGCATAAGAATACTGTAGTTTGTGTGTTTGCTAGTACGAAATAGTCTGTGGTTAGGAGATCCTCGGACCCATGCAAACTGGAATAATACCCGACTGCTTCGCATTCGCATTGAGGATAGTCAGCTTTCAGAGGGCTCATGTGCGTGAAAAAGCACCAGCAGGTGGAATGACATTTCCTGATTCAGATAAACTGATGGAAGCGTAAGTAACTGGTCCGGTATGCCGATGTCTTGATATAGGCTGGCTTGCCGAACAACCTCCTAGTGGTGCCAGCTGGGTGTTCGGGATCATCCCGTTCCAGCGAATGGTTGGGCAACAGTGCTCCAGGACGTGGTAGGTTTTCGCCTAGCAAGTGTTCTCCCTATAAAAAGCTAGATATGTCCGCTTAACAACCCGGTGACGCGGCGGATGGGACTAGCCGGTAAATAAAGTCACTGCTCCTAGCTTCATAATGGTGAAGCATTGTATGCTGAAATTGCCAGGAATATTCGGCCTCTAGTTGGCAAACGGACAAAATAAAGGCGTATAAACTGAGCAATCAGTTACCGGCTTCCAATGGGCGTGATTCCCTGAATTCGCTCCGTTGCCTAGCGGGTAGGCTATTCGGTAAAAGGCTCGGGGTGGTGTCCCCTAAGTCAACACCCTACCTCAGTTTGGGCGAGCGGGTAGTATCTCGCCATCTGACAAAACCATGGACTCCACTGCGTTGTGTTGTGTTTTCTATTACAATATCTGTACCTTCCGTTGAGTTCCATGGCTTTTGATGGCTCTATGTCAATTCGTAGACTTTTGTATATATATATATATATATATATATATATATATATATATGTCTTGATATAAGTGCTTTAGTAAGTAACATGTGTTGCCCTGTTGAAAAGACCTATCAAAAAGCAGACAGATTTTCATCACCACTAGTAAAGCGGCTTCGTAGGAAGAAAGAATCGGTTTACAAGTGCAAGAATGTTGATCGTGTCATAAACCTAAGCACAGTAATTAAATCCGAGAAAAAAAGACTAAACCACTCATAAATGGAAGCAGTTCTAAGCAACCATAACTGTCGCGATCGATGGAGGCTTTAGAGGCAACTGTGTGGTAAGAGTGTCTACAGCCAGAGCGGTGAAGTGGATGTGGATAAACTGAATTCGGAGTTTTGTTCCGCCCTATTAAGCTCATCTTCCATCCCTCCTTCATTAGCTCAAATCCAGCTGCGCCCTTCGATCAAAGCAACGTTCACAAGGAACACAAAAGGCAAACAAATCTAGTGGTCCGGATGCTCACTCAGCATTAGCTTTGAAAGAGTGTGTTGTTTTTAAAAAATCTCATTAACAAATGCATTATCCCGGACATTTGGAGAACGACCAGTATAACACCAATACCCAAAAATGGATCACAAAAGTATCGCCCAATTGCATGTACATTTGTGTATCTAAAAGTTTTCGAAAGACCGTTGATTCAGCGGATGTGTTCAGCTGCTCCTGAGTACGATATCTACCTGTTTGCGAATAGACCCCCAGCGCTCCACATTGGATGCAGTGGTATATCTTGTTCATACTATACCCTGTGCGTTAGAGCAAAAATGTAAGTCTGTACGGCTTCTCCTTCTGGATTGTTTGAATGCCTTTGGAAGCCTGGATAGGTCAGTGTTGCTCAACCTGATATCCAAAAATGGAGTCCATCTGGGTGTATGTAATATGTTACGTAATTATTTTACGGGTCGTACTCACTTCACCAAGTTAAACGGTAAGAAATGCTCTGTCCTCTGTGCCGACTGTGGTGTCCTGCAGGGAGCGATCCTATCACTTTTTCGATTTTCCTTATATGCTTAATGTCTCCCTGTGCAAACCATATTTATAGGATGCAAATATGATGATGTTGTGCTGTGATGTATGGCCCCCTATTCAGGATTCCTCATCCCTTCAACGTGGGTTGGAAGATCTGATGGAGTGGACTTCATCCAGATCCCATAGGCTTAATACACTTAAATGCAGTGATGTAATATAATTTTTTATTCGAAGTGATAAGTTGCAGTGCATTATAGATGTCTCCCCCAGCCGTACTACGAAGGAAGATCCAATACCCATGTCCATTGTCAAGTATCGTGATGTCTTTTTGTCCCAGAACCTATCCTGGTCCACATATGCCAGTGAAACTTTCCAACAAACCAGAAAATTTTATTTTTATGCTTACAGTATCTTGTACTTCATTAACCACGTTTGTGACATCTTGCATTATTCACCATTGGTTATAATGTACTCCTGTCATCTTCCATGGACCACTTCAGAAAGATTACATCTCATTGGTGCGATCTAGAAAGCACATTTCTAGATGCAGCGGATTGTCTAAAGATTCTTTGGTAGATTTGAATAATTTTAGACATCTTGATGCCTGCAATAATTTTCCTTCCAAGATACTAGCTAATCGTTTTCATTCACCTCACAGTGCTTTCAAAAACGCTATTTTTCTCTTCTACATGATCGAAATTCAGAATTTTATGCTCCCCTACATCATGTTATCGTAAGATTGTTTTGTCATCTCTCACATCTGCTTGTTGATCCAGCGAAAATCACTATCATGATACGCGAGCGATAGTTGGAGTAACGGTTGTGCATATTTCACCTTGTTCTCCCCAAGCATATAGATTGATATTATCTTCCAAGTGTCCGCAATGGGGATGTAAATGATGAAAATGAACCCATTAGGGTACATAAAGCGTATTCTGATTGGAATTGACTTGATTTAAACAATTTAATCTTCAGACCACCTTAGAGGAAATACCAAATCGTGTTCGGTTAATTCATTTGGAACACCAGTAAGTTCACGTATGATTTTAAATCCCGTTGTCTGCATTGGAGAAATGCTTGAAAAACTGTCGATCAGAGATTGGGAGCAGAAAGAATTAAAAGCTCAGATATGAGAGGCAAATGAATTGTGCAGCTGGTTTGCGATCAGAAACGAAGAGAATACTTACTCGACGTAAAACTGGGAATGGTGCCCGAGCGGCCACCGGTGACTGAATAGTCCATGCGGTATGAAAGAGTGTGCGCCGTGCGCCGATCCCGTCGAGTATCCCTCGAAGGAGCTAAAACACCGGGGGAAGAACAGCGATATGAGCATCAAAAGCGAACTCGAATGCAGCAAGAACTGACATCGAATTCTTCATGCTTATTTGACGGGAAGAAAGGCTAAAAGGATAGCACAGATGATCAAGTCACCGCAAGAAATCGGACCCGGACAGATACAAGCGGTAGAGCAAGTATCCGAGAGAATTGTGTTGCAACAGACGGGTGAACAATCAGACTAGAAGGTGAAGGTGTGAAGGTTTAACCACCTTCCCAACCCACTGCCTACTCTCTGGAACAAATAAGCCTCTCACATATAATCTGAGTCTTCTCCAACTAAGTTCCGATGAAAACCTCGGTGACCACCTACGTCAAATTTCCCGGCTAACTGCGTCATACACACTAGAGCAATGGTTTTCAACCTGGGGGTAATTACCCCAAAGAGAGTAAAAGGGCATTTTACAGGGGGAGGATTGGGTTCTTGATCCGTTGCCAAACAGATATAACAACAAAAGCATATTTTTTGAAACATACAACTAACTACCTAAGCACCACTGATTAGTTATCAGGGACTAATCATTAGTGAGTGACCAGTGAATTAGACACATTTCAGTAATAAATTTAGTACTCCGGATACGAATACAGGCCTGTAAAGCAACATATCTAGATGGCGCTCCCATTGGTTTGTTCGTCAATCGTTATGCGTTTGAGTCAGGCAGTCTTTCGCCGACTCGAATTACAGAGTAGATTGGACAGTAAGGTGGGAACATAGGTCAGCAGACCAGGTAAAGGGGCGGCTTAATGTTTGCAAGGTAGAAAAGACAAAACAGGCCATTGGTGTTCAGGACGTATTGATACAGATTGGTGGTAGGAAGTTGTTCATCAGGACGCACTTGTAAGAGGTGAGAAGCCATCGATACATGTTCATGTTTGATCAGAGATGACACAACAAAGTAAGGAACCAAATGACGTGTAGTACCCGAAACCGCACCACATATACCATAAATCTTTGGAACTAAGCAATATCAACCGTCACATTAACTTATATCTCCTCTTGGCTTAATAAAAAGTCGCTCAAAAGTGGGTGTTTACATGAATGATAAAAAGTAATTAAAAATAGCACTCATTTCCGCAATTAAGAGTAGAAAATGTAATAAGAAAATAACAAGTTATAGTGAAATGCGTCATTCATCACTATACACGTTAGCTGCAGGTGGAAAACACCCCAGCTATTGTGCCGCAATATAAAAGACAACAAAAGGAAAACAAACAATGGCACGCCGGCTGAGTCACCAGTAACGGATGGGCATCGTTCCGGAGAGCTAACAGCTGGCTATCGTGCTGTTAAAAGAGTCATATTATGACTAACGAGTGAGATCGTGATTGGAGGGGGATGGACAAAGGAACTCATAACACAAACGCCACCGGGCCAGTTCAAAGCCATATCAGCAAGTGTGTCCAACCAAACGTGTTCACCGTCCTTAGGACCCCAGCCAGACAGTCGGGATGCACCAACCGACGCCAACTTCAAAGTGAGGGTTTTCATCTCTCTCGACCAAGTCATCGTTTGGCCTCCCCTCCTCCTCTTCCAACCGCACCCACAATGCGCAAACAATGCACGTCGCGGGAGTCGGTGTGCTGGCATGCGCAACACGTGGCCCAGCCATCGGAGCCTGGTGCGTGATATAATCGTGCTAAGCGGTTCACTCGCTCTTCCTGCACCAAATACGCGACGCCGAACACGCTCATTGCTCAAGCGGGGCTCCCACCAGACATGAGCTAAGCTGTGAAGGCAGCGATGATCGAATATGACGAGCCTCTTTATGTCTGTCGACCTGATGGGCCAGGTTTCACAACCATATGGGAGAGTTGAACGGACAGCTGCAGATGAACGGACTGGGGTTAATTTTTATAGTTAGCCCACTTTGTGGGTAACAACCATAAAAGGTTGAGAACCACTGCACTTAGATCAATGTGTGACGTCTCGTCCCCTCAACTAACCGCCTGCGCAGGTTACAACCTGTCTCACTATTCCATCGCTTGCACAGCAAATGACTAAGGCATATGAGCCCACGGTAACGACGACACAAGTATGTTCCAACTAGTTGTACCATACTATCCAACTCACATTCTAATCGCTCGCCTCCTTCAGTTTCCCAAGCGCTACAGCTTGATGCATTACTCATTAATAATGCAAACCACTCATCCGGTACCTATGTGCCCTCTCACCACTTGAGTGACATCCGTCGAATCGCACGGAGTGAAACAATTAGTCACCATAACCTGATAGTACCTCAGACAAAGTTCACACAGTATTCGTTTTCTAATATTAGGTCCCCTCGCAAGATTAGTTGACCCCCGGGATGGATTGCGTCTAATGTTCGAAATGTTACATTAAACGCGTCATAATAATGGAAATTTCGTACAAGTTAGCCACCACATTGCCGGTTGCGTCACCGGCCCTGTTGTGGATAAAATAGAGAACACATGTTACAATTTAAACTGATTTGCACTGATTTGCTCCACTGTGAACGACGAAATGCATGCGCCCTAAACTCTGTAGAATGAGGACATTTCGTCCGGAGAACTGCTCTCGTTTCTAGCAGGAAATACAGTAAACATATAAGTGGAAGGTCAAGTTTGGATTACACGTTGTGTGATTGGATTGCGACGCACAATCTCAATGTAATAGAGGACTGTGGTTCACATTGAAGTGAACCTTAGTCAGGGCGATCACTGGGACCGTATTCAAAGTAGATGGAAATTGGGTGTTGCCCACCCGAAAACACTGCACAACCACGACGCGTTTCGATGTAATTTCATCTCATCAGGTGGAGACAGCAGGCCTCGATCCCGCGACCATTGGAATAGTAGCCCACACCACTACCCCTTTGGCTACCGGGTCACGGTAGGCAACGCTTTTTGGCACAACGGTAATGACTAATTGGAGGGTCAAGTTTGGACTACACGTTGTGTGATTGGATTGCGACGCGCAATCTCAATGTCCCAATGGTCGCGGGATCGAGACCTGCTGGCTCCACCTGATGAGATGAAATTACATCGAAACGCGTCGTGGTTGTGCAGTGTTTTCGGGTGGGCAACACCCAATTTCCATCTACTTTGAATACGGTCCCAGTGATCGCCCTGACTAAGGTTCACTTCAATGTGAACCACAGTCCTCTATTACATTGAGATTGTGCGTCGCAATCCAATCACACAACGTGTAGTCCAAACTTGACCCTCCAATTAGTCATTACCGTTGTGCCAAAAAGCGTTGCCTACCGTGACCCGGTAGCCAAAGGGGTAGTGGTGTGGGCTACTATTCCAATGGTCGCGGGATCGAGGCCTGCTGTCTCCACCTGATGAGATGAAATTACATCGAAACGCGTCGTGGTTGTGCAGTGTTTTCGGATGGGCAACACCCAATTTCCATCTAGAGTAAACATATACATCAGAACGGATTACTTACCTAAATAATGGAGTGTTTCTTCGCAGTAGCTTCCAAGTTAGATAGCCCTTCACATCCGGAAACACACTAGATGGCTGTCTCGAACAGCTGTGTCTCGTCATTAGTGTGCACCTATCGAATGCATCAAGATTCGAACTTATGATCACCGCGGATTGATCGGCCAGCCAGCAACTTATGCAACTAAGCCAGAGGACAGCGTTGGACCATGATTTGCAAACTAGCTGCGATAAAGCGTGTCTTACCCTCCACTGCTATGTAAGTTACGAAGGTTGCAGAGGACAGGGTTGGACCCAAAAGACACGACTTCTACTAACGGAAGCTAGGTAAAATACAACACTTAGCTACTGTCTGGGCAGATATCTTGACGTACCTATGTGTTAGGTGTCCGGAATCTGATAGATCCTATGGATACGCACTACTGAAGAGACCCCATAGATGGAAGCGGTCGCGCAATGCTGTTCCGGGTGTGTGGATAATCATCTCATTTAGCAACTACTGCGATGAAACCCTCAAATAGTTCCGTTAATAATAATAACCATAATCATCATGACCTCATTATTCTAAAGATGACCAAGAATGCCAAATTGGAGGACTTGTTGATTGGTGCAATTCAGCATTATAAGGGATGCGAGATAAAGTTTGTTCTCCAGTAGGACAGAAGCGACGCGGATTTATCACAAAAGATCAATTTCGCAAAGAATGCAGAATCTGTTAGGCAATTGCTCATTCGAGCAACAATGAGAAGAGATGGTAAACGCATTGAGTGACAGATGTAAACAAGTATTGAACGACAAACAAACACGAAGGGTGAGAAATCATGATTTGGCCACAGAGTTGAGTTAAAAAGTACATCAATATTAAAACAAATGACCGTAGCATGAGATGACCCTGTAATGACACAACAGATAGAACCACTCCAATTGCTCTCCTTAGTCGCATTCATAATGCAGTTGAGAAATAACGATTTACTTGTGGAACGAATATAAATGAGTACATTAAAGTCGCACAACCATGACCAAAGCAATCTGATAAAGTGCCTCAGTTGCTTTCGTGTACATATTCCTTGCGTATTTGCCATCTGGAGATGTCGAACTTGTCATACGGGCATCCGGAGAAGTTTATCCAGTAGACCTATCAAAGACAGACAAAACCGACCAGCCAGGGGATCAAAGGGCGGCTGAGTACTAAACAAAGTGGTTAAGGCAATCTATAGTGAAACATGATAGGTCCGATGAAGAAGCGGGACCCCAGTCGGTCAGTTACAAAGCACCTGATGGATAGTCAATAGGTGGGTCCATCTATGAGATTCAAAACACTGTGGATCAATTGCAACTGGAAAATGCCTGCAATAAAAAATGAGGTATTACTGACTGCTGTAAACCGACCGGTATTGGATGCGCAAAAGCAACTGAAGCAATCTATCAGATTGCCTTGGTCTTAATCACCAGACTTTAAGTTACCAGTGTATTTTCGTTCGATACTGACATTAGTTACATTATTTTACAAAGGTGTTGCGTAAGTGACTGAGTAGGGTAATCAAAATGTTAACATATCACAAACTTTGTCTTCTGTTAACACTGACCAACTGTGTAAAGGTGACATTGCGTTTCAAGATATTAGAAATGCATAGAAACAGTGCAATAAGATGTACGGGTGGAATGGAAAACTTCCTTTGGAAATCAGGACCCACTCCTAGGCTGGTTATTGTCATACCTGAGCGGCCGTTCTCAGGTAGCTACCATAGGCGACCACCACCATTCACCACCTCCAATCACTAGTGGTGTCGTTCAAGGGAGTGTACTTGATCCGTTACTGTTCTTGCTCTACGTCAACGACGGCAGTGCATGCCTTTTCTATTTGCAGATGACATAAAGATAGTCTACAAATTCCGACAAGCTGAACTACAAGATACACTACTGCTTATACAGGAAGACCTACACGCCCATGAGAAATGGTGGGACACCTAGATGACGAACTTCTCAGTGAGAAAATCTAGCGTCATGTATCACGGCTGTTGGATACCCGAGGTATCAATAACATTCAACGGCGAACACCTACGTGTACAGCTGTCTACCCCCGATCTCGGAATAAGGTATTCTTACACACTCAACTTTCTGAACAAGTGGAATACCAGCTGGCTAGGGCCAGAAAATCAATAGCTTATATATTACATCATCAGCAGCAGCAGCATTATACATGTCAGCTAGAGGTGGTAAAACACCTCCGCTATTGTACCGCAATACACAAAGGAAATACATACATACATACAATACATAAAGCAAAAATAAATACGACAGTTGCATGCCAGATGAGCTACCAGCAACGGATAGGCATCGTTCCGGTAAGCTACTAGCCTGCTACTAGGCAAAAAAATTTATGATGTTTTACCCTACGAAATGAGATCGTAGATGGAGGGGGAGGCTAAAAGGGATGGGGAGGGACAAAGAAACTACCACCAGGAACGCACCTGAGGTCGGCTCCTTGCCATACCAACAAATGTGTCCAACCAAACGTGTTCACCGTCTTTTGGACCCCAACCAGGGAGCCGTGACGATCCAACCGAGGCCAGCTCAGAAGTGAGGGCCTTCATTCCTCTCGACCAAGTCATCGCTTGGCCAGCCCTTCTCTTTTTCCATCCACACCCCCGGCACGCAAACAACACACGTCGAGGGAGTCGGTGGGCTGGCATGCACAACACGTGGCCCAGCCATCGGAGCCTGGTGCGGGAAATAACGATGCTGAGCGGTTCATTCCCTTTTCTTGCGCCGTAAACAAGGCGTCGAACACGCTCGTTGCTCACGCGGCGTTCCCACCAGATGTGAGCCAAACTGCGAAGGCACCGATGGTCGAACGTAACTAGCCTCTTCATGTCCGCCGATCTTAGGGGCCAGGTTTCGCAACCGTATATATTACATAAGATCAACATAGCCCCATGCAGAGTAGAACTCTTCAAAATCCTCAATCGCCCAATTTTGGAATACTGTAACATCATTTGTGGCATCATGAGGAAATCTGACAGAGTATCACTAGAGAACATACAAAGTTCATTTATCAAACGTCTGATAGAAAAAACATCCACTAAGAACCATCGGGAGCGCTGCCAACAATTCCAGCTTGATCCGCTTTGGCTACAAAGATTGAGACAAAACCTGATGCTTCTGTACAACATGATTCCTCAAAACGACCAATGTTATTTGCCCTCCCTAGAACTACACCATAGTTCTACAAGGGAGCTGCGCAATATGGAGTTTACCCTGAGTGTACCCAGATGCAAGGTAACTCTGCGGGTAAATCTGTTGTCCAGTGGAATAACCTCCCAGTCACAAACAGTTTATGTGAGAGCGCACCAATTACCTAGACTTGAACATGATTATGACCCTGTTCTATTGGGAGAGAGCACTTGATGATTTGTACCAAGAAGGGCCAGACCAGATCTAATAAGTGTAACAAAAATTGCATACTGCATGACACACCCCTAGTGCCGTTACCATTCACTAGTTCAACTAGTGCACATTGCGTCGAAACACACCTTGAAACAGCAAAAGCAATGAAAATCAAATAAATGTTTACCATTCATGCATGAGCATGACACATTCTGTAAAATATGATGTGATAAATATGACCACAGTTTCATACACAATTAGAAATATACCTATTATTATTATGATTATGATTATTATTGTACACGAGTTAACGAAATGTTCCAGTGAGTGAGAGGGAAAACTGGAAGACATAAAATTCGGTTGACAATCACGTGACTCACACGCATGCATGTGTTGCTCGTAACGCGTTTTGTACCCGGGCTCGGTGTTTGCGCTCGGGGAACGCGATGCTGAAACGGGATCTAGGTCCGGCGAACGTGCGTGTAGGAGTTTACTGGCTTCTAGCTCCTGAATTAGAGCCTACAAGGAAACGGTACGGGGAAAATTCGTATTAGCGAACGATATGGAAATAGTGAAAGCGAAGACATATCAACGGTGAACAAATAGACTGAAAACAGGTCTGTGAAGTTTCCAGTAGACAAATCTGAATAAACTCGTGTGTGAAGAAGCGAAAATACAAACCTCTAGAGAGTCGATTTGCATACTAAACTCTTCGAAATTGTGAAAATCTAAGGAATTAAGCAACATATGCCGTATGCCAGAAGGTGTCCTCAGTCATACTGGTTCCTCCATCTCAAACGTATACTAGTTCCGAAACAAGTTATATCTACAGACTAGTTCCGTTACTCCAAACATGACCAGAATCATTCACTACACTAGAGTGCTGCGTTATCATACTTAAAAACACGGAAAAACAGATGGAATTGCTTTGAAAAATGTCCAGCGCTCATTCACCTATGAAGAAGGATGTTCTTATCTCCAACTTGATCCACTTTGGCTTTGACAGTTGGAGAGCAACCGCATTCCTCTCTATCGTATCATACATTCGCGAGCTTCTTTAACCAGTACAGCTCTCACATTAAGGTGAACTTGTTCAACCTATCACCTGCTAACCTCACAGAGTACCAACCGAAATAGTCGCTCGAATTTCTTCCAAGTAAGAAACATCCAACTATGGAATATGCAGTCGCTGTAACGAAGAACAGGCAAGAATTTATTCATCTTGATCTCTCCTACAAACTTTTCTTTCAATGTCAAGTGTGGTCAAGGTTTCGAGTTTCAGCGAACTACGAATGAACCGAAGGAATCCGGCCAGGACAAGACATAACACAACTAGCTTACCCGCCTGTTGTTTAATACATATTCCATAAAATGTGTGCATTACTGATCAAGATTGACTCTAAAGTTCATTCATGAAATGTTGTTCATTCTCGCTGTTCATGAACGCAGACCCCTTGTTCGAAAATGTCGATGAATTCGGACCTCATAGTGAACCAAAAGAATTGGGATATTCAACGCTGTGCTTACGATCGTTAACCAAATGGGAACTTATCCGCCTATAGAGAAACATATCCCGTTATCCAACAATTTCTGACACACCTGCATTATTCATGATCTTCGTGAATGCACTGCAGGTTTTGTTCAAGTCCAAACCGCTCCGAGCGATATAACGTAAGTGATATTCGGTACAGAGAATCTCCGGTAAACAAGCACAAAAGAAGTGACCACGGGGCGTTGGACCGTCTAAGACGCTTTAAACAGCAACGATAAACGATGAGGCATAACCGAAAATATGGCGTCCTGCCAGAGGTCCATATACATATACAACTAAACTCGATGCAAAATCGTCCGGTGAGGATACATACCAGAGCCGGAAAACAAAGTCCACTTACCGCTGTGATCCCAGAGCTCTCGCCAAGACGTTTCAGTGTTTCAATCTCCATGTCAATCTGGTGCAGTTTGCTGGGCACATGTGAGGCCCCAGAATCGGTGAAATCACCTGTCTCCGTCTTGGACGATTTGAAGGAGGCGTCACCGTTCACAACATTTGCACTGGAGAGCTGATCGGCCATGCGCTTCTCTCGGCCTGTGAAAAGCGGAACACAAACCAGTGGTCACATGTTACTGAGAGAAGCGAAGTCCGTAATTTACAAATTGCTTTACGTCAATGTAAGTTATCTCTGACTTTAACCCGGTTACACGGATCAATGCCCCTGTGGGAAAAGCCCCAGGCATAAATCAAAAAACCACATGCACAATAAATCGTCCGCAGTCGCTTTTATCCGATTGTGACTCAGTGCAGCAGAAAGGATTCGGGCTTTCAACTAAAGTTCGCTTAATGTAACAACATGTTGTACAATGGTCAAACTCATCTGAGCTGATTTCCGGTAAATGAATACAAGCGGAATGATGTCATTGCCAAGAGTGTGAGTGCAGCGGTTGATCGACATATAGATAGTTCAGTGAGACAATTAAAAGAAAAAGAAAGCGGAAAACGGGCCCGAATTCGTGGAGTTCTCGTAAACATATATATCAACAGTACGCCGACACTTGGTCACGAGGCCTGGCGTCAAAGCGACCACCAGCAGACGCACGTGCACTGGGGAAGCGGGAGGATCGCCCGCATCTACGTAGATTCGAAAAGATCCGTGGAGTACAACAATGCAAACGTCTTGTCAGTCAGTCACCTGTGGATATTCACATAAATACCGGCGACTAGTTATCATTAAGTTGTAGATAAAGCACCCAGAGAAATAACGGAAATAACAAAACGTATCGATGGAGTAAATTGAGTAATATGGAAGTGTATGAAGTTCACGATGGTACTCAGGTTGTGAAGTAACCAGCCTCGAATAAAAGCAATGAACATCAATCATCACTCAAGATGAATTATCCTACAAAGGAAAAGTGAAATCACGAGTACCAACTAGAATTCTGGAATCGGATGTAATTAACTAATCGCTCGTCAACCAAAAGTGAAAAAACGAAAGTAAAAAGCAAGACGCACGTTTCTCCATCATGACAACAGCGGGAGATGGGGGAGCAGGAAAATCGAATCGCTCAATCGCTGGCAAACTTGTGGAATCGGGAATTCGTGCATTTGGGTAGGATGCCAGACGACGTGCCTCAGCCCAGTACACAGCAGCGGAATCCGGACTGAGCGAGCGATCACGACGAGGGCGTGGTTGGATCAAAGATTCAGCTGGGGAAAAATGGTAGTGAAATCGATTGGAGCAAATGAATAATTGCTAGAAGACTGGGAATTCATACTTTTGTACACAGCGAAAATAGTTAAAGATAGATAGGGAGTGCGAACAACTGGAGAGTGAACTATGAGGCAGAGGTGATTATTGCTAGAAACTCAATGCCCAAATATAGTCACCCCGAACAGTGCGAGAGGAATATAGAAAGTCCAACATCGAATAGATCTGTCTGATTTCAAAAGCCCAATGCCGAGGTAAACGAGCGATTATTGACCAATAGTTACATACAGTAACCAGACGGTGCACTTTGTCATTACCAAGAAATCCTCCAGCCAAGCATACTGCAATGACAAAACGGATCAAAGTATTGTCGCGAGCAAGGCATGTATCTTTGTGCTGTGTAAAAACGAGTTGCCTTGCGGTCCTATGTACAAAACCTATGATACTTCACCCACTTGTCCGACAAATGAAGCGATTTAAGTGAGCAATCAGCTAGGATATTTATTCCATCTGAATCTCCATTGGGAGTGGCATACCACATTGGATGGGGTTCATGTGTTTGCTAATACAAGTCACAGCTGCTTGCCGGAAATTTCTTTTCGTCTGTTGGATATCAATCCTGCTTCGCAAACTCCAACTCACTTGAAATTTCTTTTGATTACCTAAGGAAGTTATCCTAGGTGGACATCCACGCACTACAATTTCTTAGCATACTCTCAGACTGGCTGATAAATACTCATCCGCGAAATTTTACTCGCAGTAGATTCTCCTGTGACTCCTGCATGGGAAAAAAACTATAGTTAATTAATCATGTCAATTAAGGAGTACCTTGCGCAAACCGATATATAGTTATTCATAAGTTTATGCCTTAACAACCCAGATCAACTCTCAACCAGAGAACCACTAGTTGTGCACAGAAGCAACATAAACGCCTTAGCGTGTTTCAATAACGACTGAGTCTACAAAATAAAGAAAATTTCAGGAATGGTCAAATAGACAAGCGAACTTTTGTAATTCGCACACCACCGTAGGCGGGACATAGTAACGTCCTTCTCGAAAATGAGATCCAAGTTATCATAGACCAGAATGTAAAAACAACTTGAGAAAGTCACTACACGTACGAAGAACACACGAACAAAGGTGGACAACCGAGTTCCGTGATTCCTCCTCAGACCTGTACAATCACAAACCAACAGTGAGTGTATGATTGATCACATCACTCTAAAGGCCCCAGAAGACTGGAGACGCTCCGCACTAGTCGCAATTTCAAAGGGGGTCAAATTTGGAATGTAGCAACCATAAAGAGATCAGTCTGGTCACCACTGCCTCTAAGATACTTACCTCTTGACGTGGAGCAAGATAAACCAACATTTTGCAGAATATGCTGAATTCAGTTCATTTCGCGTATTCTCAATCAGCCGCATACATGCATACTGAGTACACGTGACAGTCAATCGAACAGAGCAATCAATTTGAAACTATGATGATCGCGATCATCGCTTCCAGTGACCGAACCTATGCCGTACCATGGCAGGGAAAGGATGGCCATGAGGTCAAGTTGTTTGCACAGGTTGGGCTTCAGCCGCCGGATAGCGGAGACCTCAGCAAACCGGAGCAGTGTTGGAGTGTTTTGTCTTCTGATGACCTCAAATGAATCACGAAGATCTCCACACGCATTGCAATCCAACAGATGTCATGTGATAGAATTGCTAATACCTTAGGACTTCTAATCGCTAGGCCTCGCAGAACGTGCTCCATAATCCTTGTCGCTAACCTCTCAGTCCGACCAATGTACATGCTACCAGACGTACAGTTAAGCTGGCTCACGCAGGAGGCGGTGACTTGAGGGAGACGTTTATCCAGGTTAGATACACGCAAAAATTTCCTGATTTGGTGCAGAAACACTAGCTCACCTGCATAGTAGCATCACTTTACGGACTGACGTAGCCGGCGGCAGAACCGCTTATAAGTTTGTTCCCCTCTGATAGGTAAGGTAGTGAACACCCTCTTGGGAACATCACGTCGTTTTATTTTTTCGATATTCTCTGTCCCGTATCTAGCGATAAATTTACTGGGGTACCCATTATCTCGTAGTGTTGATACAATGCACTATAAATCACTCATGTTCGATTCTTCCGAACAGGTTTGGTGAGCTCATGTGAAACAGGTGCGAACCAATGATCGTTTAAAGTTCATCGGGCAATAACTGTTGAAGTTTAGATACTGCCCTGCCCAGCTCGGTTGATGGTAAATCGACCGTATGAGCAGTCCATCTGGTCTTCGTTTCAAAGTAACATCCAAGACGTGAAATGTCTCCCCCGACTCTGTTTTCATGGTGAGATTGATATCTAAGTGACTTCAGCTTAATTTTTCCAAAAATGCTCCCCCCCTTCTGAGCGCTATCAACAACCACAAAAGTGTCATCTATGTACCGGGGGTAGAACCGCGTCGTGTCCATGGTACTTCGTAAATGGTTATTCTCTACATAGCACAAGAAGATGTCAGCTATGGCTAGTCCAAGAGGAATTCCTATCGCACCGCTTTGAATTTGCAGGTAAAGTTGACCTCTGTCGTTCTCCATACACGTGAAAGCCAGATTCACAAGGAGCAAGCCAGGTTTTATCAAAGTCGAGGCTGTATCGGTCACCTTTGCACATTATGTAAATTGCTGGACCACCGTCACATTTACCGGTAAACCATCGTAGCCGTGTTCTTAGACATCAAAGGAGCCTTTGATTCTGTTGGTCGATTTGCCTTTTCGGATGGTCTACTCAGGAAAGAAGTGCCCGAAAAATATTTAAACACTGACAAAGCGCTTTACTCTCCTAGTTCGGGCAGAGTGTGGGCCTACGGCAACCTGTCGCAGCCCTTCAATATCTTCAGCAGTATAAGACAAGGATGCCCGATGTCACCTTTCTCTTTTAACTTCCCCGTTGATGAATTCATGGAGACTGCGTTCACAGGACACGACCTGCAAGGCGTGGAGCTACTCTTTGGTGATCGGCTTCTTGACTTGGAGTACACCGACGACAATGCAATTAGCTGTGGCAGCTCTCAAAGGTGCCAAGTAGAACTGGAAAGCTTTCAGTCGTTTCGAGCTATGCTCTACATCCTCGAAGTGCAGGGACCCATTTCTGCGCTGATCCTTGGTGGCGATCAGCTAAAAGTCGTAATGAAATTCATTTACCTAAGAAGTTATAGCAGCGCCAGTGGAACTGAAGATGAGATCACAAACCGTAGAACAAAAGCTCGAGACGTCGTTGCCCCTCTGCCATCTGTGGCACCGGCGCGACATCGCCCTTGCTCTGATCGCCCCGAATGGTAGAGTTTACAATACAACTGTCCCTTTAACCTTACTGTACAGTTGCGAAACCTGGCTCAACGAGACAACAGAGTTAAAGAGGCTTGTTACGTTCGATCATCGCTATCTTCGCAGCTTAGCTCATGTCTGGTGGGAGCACCGCGTGAGCACTAAGCGTGTTCGGCGTCGCGTATTTGATGCAACAGAGCGAGTGAGTCTATCAGCACGGTTATTTCACACACCAGGCTCAGAAGGCTGGCGCACTCGTTTCGCATGCCAGCACACCGACTCCCGCGATGTGCATAGTTTGAGCGCCAGGGGTACAGTTGGAAGATGAAGTGAGGAGACAAAGCGGTGAGTCAGTCGAGAGAAATGAAAAGCCTCACTTCGAAGCTGGCGGCGGTTGGTGTGTTCCGACTGCTTGGCTGGGGTCCCAGGCACTATGAACACGTACGATTGAATACACCCGTTGACCCGACAAGGAACCGAGTTCAGTGTAGTTTGTGTTCTGGGTTTCTTTGTTCATCCCCATCCCGCTGATCTGCTCACTTCAACCACGATCTGTCTCCTGACGTAAAATATGTTACTACGAGTAGTTGTTGTTTGTTTTTGTATTTTATAATGTGCAGCATCCTGTGTTTTTTCGTATGTCTTGTCTTTATGTATTGCGAAATGATACTTGAAGTGAGTTTCTCACACTTCGGCTAATGTGAGATGATGAAGATGATCACTACAAATGATACCAAGCACGTGCAGACGGGGTTCGTGGACACAAGCATTTATAATCTTTGATCCCGCGTCTTACACGAACCAAGGCAGCTGCAGAGCCTCAATCAGTTCCTACTGAGAGCATAAAGGTGGCTCTAAAATTGAATACCCATTGCCTCTGTTATTGCAGACCAGTCGAATGTAGCTGGAGGTCCTGTGGATTACCAGGAAAGCACGGTTCAAGTCCATTCAATGCTCGATGTCAACAAGATGAGCCAAAATGGAGCTATTAACTACCCCAGTGACACCTTGACGTAACGCGTGTGGGTGGGGCTCACTGATGTGCTTTGACAGGTTCCGCGCCATTCGACCGACATAGGTTAAGGCTCAGGTTCACTCGAATTGATGAATGACCACTGAAGGGGTTAGCGTACAAACGATCGGTTCATCTTTTGTCCAGTGTCCCTGCTTAAAGTGCTCAAGTTGCTCTTAGTGGTGATAGAGCTTAATCATTTCCTCAGATTATCCACTAGACTTACCGAAGCCAGTATCAATGACTGCGTGGAGTTCAAAGAATACCCAACCAGGTTTTAGAATCGGTTGCAATATGGTCGGATTTGCCATAAGAGGTAAACACAGATGGCATATATTAAGCCAGCGTAACACCGTGCAATCAGAAAGTGCCTAGGTGAGGTAATTGGCCAAAAGGGCTTGGTTAAGAAATGAACCCCGAAAGACGAAAGAGCAGTGAACAAGGTTCATTCGATCAGTGTTAGTACCTAACATGTAAAGCCAATCATTTCAGACAGTGCGATACAAAAACTGATGAAGCGCAGTGGGAAATTTGAGGCCCGGGTTATCTACGGGCCATCCAAAATAGGACGTGAGAGAGTGTAGAGCGGAAACAGACCGAGTCCCAACGTCCACTCCAGCACCAACAGGGAGAACTTCAGCTCTCCGATTAGTGACTGCTCCGTGGATCAAAAAGCA